ATTAGCTTTCTATTTAAAAATCTTTCCTTTGGAACATATCAATCTAATGTGTCCATAGCACCGTTAACAACCAGATACATTGTTCAATTAAATTACAAAATGAGCTGCTAAGCCCTAGTTATGTTTCTTGTTTAATTTACATTGCTTTCTGCCTATCTGGGGAGATTCGAATTACAATATCCCCTGAACTTTAATATGTACTATAATTATTTGGGTTGGGATAGGATAATATGGCTGTCACCTGTAGAATTAATGGAAGCAATTTCACAAAATATTAAACATAAGACAGCATACTCAACAGATTAAAATAGTACATACACCTACTTTTTTTTCCAGATAAATCTTCTTCATGCAATAATGCTGTGAAGTTTTTTCAGGCTTTTCTGTTTGTTTTGAAACAGAGATCATGTTTGTATAGCACAAACAAATATTAAAAGCCACCCAAAACACACTAGCCTCGTGATCATCAGCCTGTTGATAAAAGATCCAGGGACAAACACCACAACAGGAGACTAAGTTTGCTCATTTTGTTCTAAGAGATGTGGCATTTATTCTGTTGAGATTCAGTCTTCAAGCTTAATGGCAATATGGAAAACAAAGCTAAAGCAATGCTCCCTTTTCCTGTCAGCCACTGAATTTTTAGACAGCCCATCCTTAGCTTTTAACTGTGCTTCTGCTATTATTCTTTTCCAGTTCTCAAAACACACATTTACATGACATATCCAGTCATTTCAGCAGAGCAGAAAGCTGCATAGAGTTATTAATAGCTCTTGCAAGTTTCCTAGGTATTTAGTGTAGTGCCACTTCCTGGAAAATAGGTAGGGAACAAAGAATGGCAATTACACTTACATGGACCTTTATGACCATTTCATCTGCACAAACATTTATCTTGCTGTACTTTATTATCTTCTGCACAAGACAACTGTATGTGGTATTATATAGTACTTATTGACAATTAAAAAGATTATAGTAGATAAAGTGTGATTAGGTTTTATTGTTGTTATTCACAATAACTTATTATTAAGAATTTTTTTCAGTGCCTTGTAAAATGTTAAAATAAATGCTATTCTTGTGCAGCAGCATTCTCCTGCTATACCTGCAGTTATACTGTAACACTGAAGCAGCTGCAAGAGACCCAGAAAGTAAAACAGACTTTAAGCTGAAATGGTGCTGACTAATCTGTCCCATTGTCCACACTGTCTGAACACATAACCAAGGACAGCAATTTAGACTTTCTAAAGACCTTGTGCCCTCACTGAAATCAATGGACAACCTAACATCCCCTTACTGTAGTTAGCAGCAAGGTAAGCTCTGTGTGCCTTGTACATGGCCCAGCACACTGCTGAGGGTTGGTCTGCTTGTGTGTTATAAAGAATTGCTGATTGAACAATGAAGCAAGAAATGAGGAATTCCAATGAGTTTTACTGTGCAAGAGTATGATTATAGGATATGTCAGTATCCCCATACTAGCTTGTTGCAGCTAATAAAAAAAGAGAAGATGTAGGTGAAAGGGCTTCAGCTTAGCATACAGTAGTGAGCTATGCCCAGGGTCTCTGGGAACCCTGGGGACACAGACCAATCCCTGTTGAAAACTGCCTTAGAAAGCTTGTTTAAGTGCAGTTTCCCCACCATCCATACCCCTTAGGTAGGATTAGCTGGAGGATGAAGTCAACATGCACTACAATCCCACCCTGACTTTGCTGTGTGCTCATTTTGCTCCATGAATCCATGAACAGCTGACACCCTTGTAAAACAGCATTATCATCTTCTGTGACTGATTTATAGGTGAAGGCTCTCCTTTATCAATTTTGAGGATTTATCACCTTTTGTTAGTGTCTGACATGGATCAGTGCTAAAGCACGGAGAGCTGAGGGAAACATTAAACTGCTGCTTTGCTTACTCTTGAGGATATTAATTTGTATAAATATAATTCATTTACATGTCTTATAAACATATAATTCTCTCTGTTAAATTTATCACTGTAAATATCTAAATTAAATTTAATCCATTAAATTTTAAGTTATATTAAAAAACCCTGTAAATGGAGAACGTTGCCAATAAAATGTAGTAACCTTGCCACATTTATAATGTTTGAACTGCCTCAGAAGGATGAACCTAACAGGAGCAACAGAAACATAACAGCATATATCAAAGGGACAGAAATACTGTCAATTCATAGGTAAAAACTGAAGGCTTTGATTTTTACCTGTCTCCTGTATAGCCAGCTGCACAGATGCACTTTCCTGTCACGGGATCACAGTGCCCTCCATTGTGGCAGGGACAGTCCTGGCTGCAGTTAATTCCAAATGTTCCAGGAGGACATGGCTGTGCACACACCAGCCCCTGGTAAGGTTAGAGAAAGAGCAGTATTTCAGCCAACATTCATAATGCAATACATGTCTATATGCAGTTGGATATTTATCATGCTTCTTGCTAAAACTGATTTTTTCTGTTTAAGAAGGGCTAAAGACAGCCTCCAAATTCTGCTACAAGAGTAAGTGCCTGTCTGTCCTATCTCCAGAATGGAATTTTCTCACCATTGTACTCATAATTCTCTCCTTTGGATCTTGCCCATAAACTGCAGCTGGGGTGGCAGGATAGTCACTGTCCCTTGAATAGATGCAGAAAGGCTTGGGAGAGGTTAAAGGCAACCAAAGAAGGTTACAAAGCTGGGTGCTGGTGTTTGGTTGGGGTTTTTTTTGTTTGTGTGTTGGTTTTTTTTTGTGAAGTAGGGAGTCAGAAAAGTTGTTGGACCTACTCTGGATAAGTGTCATAGAGTGAACATTTGGGAAGCAGGGGATTGTTGGAAAGGCTGCACTGGAAGGATGAAGTTCTGCTAGTTGTGATAGTGATGACCTCCTCTTTTCAGACAGCTCCACCTCACCCCTAGAAGACCAAATTCAAATGCTGGAGATGTCCACCTCTTCAGATCCTACCTACTTCATTCCCTCTACCCTCATCCAGACCCCACACTCATAAAGCAGTCCAGAATGGCATCAGCCAGTGCTTTGCCTAAGCCATGGAGGAGACACAAAGGGGTACCAGAGCCTGGGACAGTTGCAGAAAGCCACCAGTAATGATACAGTAGCAACCTAACTCTCCCCACCAGCAGCACAGCAGCCTTTTGGCCAGAAGAACTGATTTTGAAATGGAAAATCTGCCTAATCCCTGGACACTCACTAGATGCATCCTCCAATATCCTCTTAGCTCCTTATCCCCAACCTTGGAGACATATCTCAGCCTCTGACCTGTTTCAATGCACATCTTGATGGCTACTTCCTTCCCTTTTTTTATGTTCCCAGCCCTCTGCTCTCCTGCCTCTTTATTCCAGTCCACCCCAAATCCTTGTTGCTGACTCCCTTTTAGCCCTCTCATTCATCTGGACCCTAATCCCCATGTTTGAGGTGTCTCCTCCTTCCCTTCCCTGCTTAACCACCCCTGAAAGTGAAGAAAAGACAGCTGGTCATTCTTGGTTGTGCACTCTTGCACTACTCAGCAGAAAAAGCAATTGCTGAGCAAGCCTTGCTCCATCTGCCCAGCCCCAAGGCAAAGAATCCTTACCACGGGTTGTGTCCTTGGAGAATTTATCTGCCAAGCTCAGGTGGTTTTCTCCTAAGTATCACATAATGTCCCCTGTCAAGTATCAAGGCCTTACAAGGATTTCCCTAGACTTTCATAGAAGTTGTATGAATATTGTTTCTTTTCTGTGAGCAAACATAAAATCTGAGGCTGGCACCCAGCTGACTAACTTCAGCCAAAACAAGTCTGGCAGTGCTGTGATGTGAAGATGGGGTCCTATAATGGAAAATGTTTGGCAACTGTAGCAAGTGGTGCTGCCAGTGCCAGGCAGAGTTTGACAGAACCAGTGTTTTTCTGTTCCTAGTATCATTTTGGTTTAATCCCTCAGCAGTCTTTATTTCCCTAACCAAGCCCCAAGGACTCTGAGTTTTGAACAAGGCACACATTAGACAAAACTTACAGAAAACATAAAATAGGAATATAATGGCTGCTTTCACTCCCTGGGGTTCTTGCTCAACAGTTTGGGAAGTTTAGCAGTATCAACAGCCCTAAAGAGGAGAGGCTGCTCTTCAATGTAATAATGAAACAGACACTTCAAGCCTTTCCTACCAGTGATAGGTGGCTCCTTTGCTGTGCAATAAACAGGTTGGCCTAAGTTCAAGAACATTCAGATTACAGTGTTAAAAAACTGGTGTCTCTGGACTTGAGTAATGCACAACACTATATATCAGAAAATGTAAGTACCCATTTATCTTGATAATAAATACTTCCTCTCTTCACGCCTCAAAAGGAACAGGATTTCTATCAACAAATGATGAGAAAGCAATACTCTGTGATGCATCCCCCTGGAGCCAAGAGAATCTTTAGGCATAGTTTTTCCATTAATACGTACTAAGGGAACCCAAAACATCCCTCTCTGAAGGATCAAATGTCAGACCAGCGTTTGCTGCTGCTTATACATCTAATCAGTAAAGTTCACCCCATCAGCACCTTTTTTAAGACCCTGATCTCATCAGCTTCTGCTTTTGACAATGCTTCCTATTTTATTACCATTTTGTAGTCTAGAAAAGATGTTTTTCTGCTCCATTTTCTCTCACACCTCCACATTTAAAACCCACAACAGAAAGTAAAATAGACAAAAATACAAACTGCAGTTGCTTCATAAAGCCCAGAGGCAATGAGAAAGAAGTGATTAGCAGAATGTGTTGTATTAACATGGCACCATGATGCAGAAACTTGAGAATGGGATCCAGGACCAAACAGGGTGTGTTACCAGTGACAAATGTTTTGTACTGTAAGGAAAGATTGCTGCTTTCCTGAGCATGGGGATTTAGGCCTTCAAAAGTGTTTCTGTAAATCTAACTTCTCCCCTCACTTCCTGGAGAGCATTTGGAGAATTTAATACTGCAAATGAGAAAGATGTGTAGAATTACACCTATAAATTGTTAATGAGGCCCTAAAGCAGCCACCCAGTAACTCCCACAGCCAGAAAGACATGGAAGTGGAAATCCAACACCATAGTATGCTGGAAGCCACATTTTGTTGACTAGTTCAACAATATATTCTGTTAACCATCAACCTCTTGGTGAAAAACCCATGGGACAGTAGAATCTCACAGAACACAGTTGATCTAACTTTCTGTGCTTCTGGGAGAGTCTGCACTGGGTGGGAGGAAGCAGGAGAAAAGAAATACTACAAGTAATAAAAGAACCAGGCTTTGAAGATGGCAGATGCAAGGAAGAACCTAAGAACCCTAGAATTTCCTCCTGTTCAACTTGTTGCCTCCTCTCCCATATCCCACAGGCAAACAGGCCCCTAAGGGAGCTGACTTGCCATTAATAAGCCTGCTCTTAGAGAGGATAAAAGTCTCAGCTCATCCAGCAGCAATAAAATCCAAGCGGATTTGCACTTCTATAAATCCAGGGAGAATTCTCTCCTTCCAACATGATGGTATATTTAATACATGTGTGCAGTCTCAAGTCTTGAAATCAGCAAATAAAATTCCTGACTGTCCGTGGAGTGAAATAAAATGAATGCTGTCCATTAAGCCCATCTCTCTTGCTCGTTTACAGCCCACTCATGTCTCACTTCCCAAACCATTCCAACCACCAAGAGTTAAAAATACAGCACGAAAAAATATTTTTCTCTGTGTATGGAATTACCAGCTTTTCATTAAAACCCTGGAGAGACCCTTTATACTTAAAATCTCAACATTTATAAGCCGAGTGCTTTTACTTATAATTTCAGTTTCTTTCCCCAGAATACTTGATCCCTCTCTTCAATTTTCAGTTTTGCTTGTTTGAAACATCAATTGCTAACTCCAGGGTTTCTCTGGGGACACGGCAACCAACAACAGAAAGTCTCTCTGGGCCACTAAAAATGCAGAGAAGAAACTCCAAGCTGTAAGGAACAGAAGTGGGCCAGAATATATGACCACTGATGCTTTACAGCTCCAATGCTGTGGTTCTTCTTTAGGGTCTATGCTGCATCCTAAAAGACCTCTAAAAACTTGCTCCTCTATTCTGATCTTCCTATCTCTCTTTAGTGATCTTTAACTTTGCAAAAGAAAAGTCCAGATAAAACAAGAGGTGATGAAGAGTACAACAAAACAACTCAGATCCTCAGAAATACTGGCATACAAAAGACAAGAGTAGGTGAAAAAAATTCCCTAAAAGTAGTACTAGTTGAAGGTAAGGTGCTATATTCTTACTTAAGCTTCTGAAAAGTTTTGTCTGCTTCATCATTTGAAATGGAATCACCATCACCACCTTTGACATGACTGGCCAAGCAAGAGAGGCTCTGACTCTCCAGCTGGAGAGAGATTTTCCATACACAGCCTCAATAAAAATATGGGCAGCAAAGTTCTTCTCCCATGTTGCTGCCCAATGGCCACCAGAATCTCATTGTTGGTGCTTTTTAACCAAAATTAGCTGTGTGATGAAGTGGAGGCAGCAGTTGCTGTACTAATATAAATGACCAAAAACATGTCTCTCAGCCCTAAAATATTTCAACACATTCAAGGTCCACATGAGACGCAACAGCTGTATGATGATCTTCAGGATCTTCCATGCATTAAAATAAAAAGTCACAGTATTTGTATGCATTCAAATCCAGCAGGATTGCCAAAAGACTAATTGTCAGATGCAGGAAAAATGCCAGGAAATTCAGTACAGCTAAATGGTATGTGGGCCTGTGAGACTTGGCAAACCCCAAGAGAGTTAATTACTACGTTATTGATAAAGTTGAAGACTTCAAAAATGTTTGGCCTTGCTTTCTTGACACAAAGGATTAAAGGTTAGGCCAATTTGATCTCTCCAGTGCAATTCCTGATGCAAGCAAATCTATTGCAATCAATGGGAACTACGCCTGAATAAGGACATGACATGGGACCGGTCTCTGTGTATAGTCTTGCTTTAACAACTGCATGAGACACTAAATTCCCTCAGGCTTTTCTTTCTCCGTTTCTCCTGAAGGGGAAAGAGGACAGTCCTTTCGACAATGCTGAGCTTTGAGCTTTCTGTCCCACAAGAGGACACTGCCTAAGGGTGCAGGGAATATTCCAAGGAACTGTAATGGACTGGTGGCCTGTCTGTGAAAGCACCATGCACTGGTGACAAAGGTGGCCTCAGTTTCAGAACTGTTAGAGCCTCATGACAAGAAATAGCATCCACACATTACAAAAACACAGGAAGATGTCTGCTGAGACAGTGAACAATTAACTTCCTATTCCAGCCTCTAAATGAGGATGAGTATGAAGAGCGTACGCACCATCCACCCAGGAGGACAGGAGCACTCTCCCGTGATGTGGTGGCAGACGCCTCCGTTCTGGCAAGGGCAGCGCAGTTCACACTGAGCTCCGTGGCTGCCGGGGGGACAGCGCTCCTCACAGCTTTGGGAGAGACAAGGAACAAAAAACAAAGAGCACATTTAAACGAACTTACAGGAGATGGGGAGGAAAATCCACAACACAGGTCATCATGGGAGTCCTTATGCAAATGATGAAACCTCAGTAAGTCTCAACTGGTATTACCAAATAGCAAAGAGTTCTTTCTGCTTGGGTTATTTATGTGCCATGGATCCAGCCCAGTATGGCTGATGCACGTGTGTAATCTTTATGCAAAGACCAAATTCCACCCCTCTCAACTGGACTCATATCCATTCAAATAGCTCAGGAAACTAAGACTTGCAGGATGAAGCCCTCAATGTGAATTATGTGACATGGCAATAAGCTGCAAATAGATGAGAAGGATGGGATTAAAATTATTGACATTTCTCCAGTCACAACTAAATGTTAACATCTGCAGTGTAAAATGGACTGACAAGACCTCAGCAACATTTAAAGCCTATTTAAGTTCACTGGGTCTCTCTCAGTACTCATGGGAGCCAGTGTGAGGCTAGTCCCTGCAAAAACAAGTGTCTCTTACATTTGCACACTGGCACTTTTCAGCATCACTTCTTTCTCTAATCCTAGGTTCTCAAGCTACAGGAGGTTCTTCCCCTGACTGTCCTCTGATGAGGATGTTCATACAACACATAGGTGGCTGACCCTGCAAGTACTTACTGCTGAGAACTGATATATTAATGTTGATGGGACCAGTCCTACCAGTAAGCAAGGTCTTTAGCAGTGAGTGGTTCCAGGCTTGAGGTTGCAAATCTATGAGGAAATCAGGTTCTAAGTAAAATATTAAAAATGTTTATCACTTATTTATGAAGGTTAATACTGCCTGTTTTTTTTCCTGTCTACTTCAAGCAGATCAACAAATAATATTGGACAGCAGAAGTATTAAATCAGCTGTAATAAATCTCCAACCAAATTCAGTGACTAAATTCTCTCTTCTCCTTGAATAATTTTGAAAATGTAATTACTTTTGGAAGTACTAAAAGATCTCTAATGAGAACTGATGTTACACTATGGGTAATTTTAAACAAGGAACTATTGCTTGCTGTCCTAAAATTAATATGCAGATTTTGTGAATCCTACTGGTAAACATTCAGTGTGGTGGATGGGGATTTAGCTACATGATTCTCTTTAAAGTTAATAGGAGTCACACAGCTAAACCCCTGCTCACTATTCTTAAAATGTACCCCCTAGATAATAAGCTAATATAGTTAACAGCAGCGCTTCCTCAGATAGATGGAAAGTCAAATATATTTGGGATAGTAAGTCCCATTTGATACTGCACTGGCCTGCTAATGAGTGAAATGTCCAATCACTTACAAAACAACTCTAACTTGTTTTGTATTCACATACTGAAATTAGGAACAGATACAGTTGTTGTACAACCTGGAAAACAGAATGGATTTTTAAGTTCACTTTAGCAGTAAATTTTATTATGCAGACAGGTATAATTAGCAATAAAAGAACTTCCCATTATTTGGTCTCTCTGAAATTTTGTTACCTGACTTCCGCAAAGACAGACTGTGCAAATTCTGCCAACTACTCACTGCACTAAAAGCGGTCAAAGCAAGGCTGTTAAATGATGCAGAGTTAAATACACCTGTCATTGAACTTACAATACCCCCGTGTACCCAGGAGCACAGTGACATTCTCCCGTTTTATGGTCGCAGGTCGCTCCGTTGTGACATTGGCACAGGAACTGGCAGCCCTTGCCGTAGCTCCCCGGGTCACAGAGCTCCTCGCAGCGCCAGCCTCGGAACCCGTCTGCGCAGACACAGGCGCCCGTGATGGGGTTGCAGAGAGCTCCGTTCTGACACTGGCAGCGGTTGCTGCAGTGGGGTCCCCAGTGGTCGCTGTCACAGCCTGCAGGGCAGACAGGCACATGCCAAGATATTAGCAAAGCGCTTCACCCGGCCCTTGCGCCGAGGCTGGCAAGCAGGCAGGGGCACTGCTGGTACCAGGAGCTTTCTAAAGGGCTCTCAAACTTTCCCCAACTGCCCCCCACCTCGCTTTAGCATGCAAGGAGACAACAGCACTAGTGTTATACTACATTTGAGGACTTGTTTAACACCCTTATTGGATCAGGACCTCAATCTTTTAATATCCTGTTTCTTAGTGCTCTTAGATAGTTGGAAGGAATGAATTTATAGTGGAATTAGATGCAGAGGATCCCATCCTGACTGCAGTGTAGTTAATGGCAGGTCGCATTGCCAAGCAAATCCTGTAGATTCAATAATGTCATAAAATATTGTTTCTTTGCACTGTTTCCGTGAGATAATATACAACATAATATACAACAAAATACAACAATCTAAAGAAGACTGTCTGCTTTGATGACATTTTTTGGTTGTTTTGGTTTTCTGGGGTGGTTTGTTTGGGGTTTTTTGTGTTGTTTTGGTTCTCCCTGGTGTAAAGAGGTCGTAGAGAGTAACACTGGAGACAGGATTTAATGAAGCTGCTTAAAACAGGCTTAGGGATGAAGGTCTGGAGTGTATATGTCAGGTAATTTCTGTGCTGGTAATAGTGTGTACAAGCATTACAGTAGGTCCCCGGGCCCCATGGACATTGACATGAAGGGGCAGTTCCCATAGAACGCATCAAAGCACAGGGAGAACCTTTCACGTGGCAATCCTGCCTGATCCCTTCTGGCTTGTGGACCGTAGGCAGGATGAGAGAGGGAAGTCAGCGTAACAGAAAACAGCTTGATCCTAATTTGCTACAGAAGTGCAATTAACACCTTCAAAATGCTCATGTTACCTGTATATAAGCTAAACAGCTCAAAGCAACCACCCGTAAGTTAAGGTTCCCTCAGGGTCAGCAGAAAGCCAAGAATTCCTTCAGAAGCCCAACCCTCTGCTCAGCAGCCTTTCGACAGAGCTGTGCCAAGGGTGAAGAAAATCACCCACCTCCTCAGACCAGAGTTGCTGGCAAAGTGTCTGATAAAGACACAGCTACAGATAATTTTCCAGGTGAATTGGTTTTGCTCAGATAAACTGTTTCAACTATGCCAACAACAACTCTTCTCCAGGTGTGAAAACCCAGTGCCACGCAGAAAGCAGGGGCAGCCCCAGCAAGAAACCAACCCCCAGGTGACACTCACTGCTCCCCAGGCCTGAGCCGCTGTGTGCAGACCTAGCAAGGTGTCCTGGCTTGAGAAAACCATGATAAAAAGCAGCTAGGCCGTGACTGACCCGAAACATTCCCAGGAATTCCAGCCCGGGAAGCTCCCGGCGGGAGCGGCTCTGTCTGTGGGGAGCGGAGGACGGGTCAGGTGACCCGAACGGACCAATCACGGTGCTGCTGCGCAGAGTGCGCAGCACAAAATGGCTCCTCAGAGAAGGCGCCTCTGGCTGCGGGGCTGGGCCTGTTCCCCCTGACCTCCCCACCTGAGGGGTGCGGGTTCCATATTTGTATCTATTTCTGTGTAATTCACCATCATTATTACAATCTTATTATTCCATTAAGCTTGCTCTTAGCTTTTCTTTCCCCGACCTTAAAGTCTTTCTCCATCACACCCATTTTTATCTTCCCCTGGTAGGACTGCAGGGGATAACAAGGAGTATCTGCCACCTGGTTATTGGCTAAAACTGACACAAAGGAAATGCAAAGCCCAACCAAGCCTGAAGCTCCTCTTAAGTTTTTTGGATTACTAGATCTATCAGTTAATTTTGGCAGTATTTTTGTCCTCATGGGTCAGTCTGAGGATACCTCCCAGAAAAAGAAAAGACTTTACTCAACTGGCAGTGCTCCTTACCAATTTACAAACTTGTATTTCATGAGCAACAGTGTTGAAGGCCAAAATAAATCCATGAGAAGACATTTCCAATGTTGCCAGAAGGATCTGTAGGGTCTTACAGGGTGTGTCCCCTGCAGAAAGCTGAGCATGCAACATATCCCCCTGCATAATCCTGCTTGTGCCTCACACGAGATAGTTTATTGCTTTGCCTCATTTTTCCCACAGCTGTAAATAGGGGTGATAGTTCCTCACTAACACTGCTGGGAGCCAAGCAAACAAAATCTTACTCTTTATAAGTCTTAAATTATTACTGAGAATCTGTGGGAAGAGATGATCTATCTTTATTTCACGTAGACACTCAACAAGTCTCTTCTAAGCCTTCTGGGGCAGGGAGGAAATCGGCTGAAGCTGATGGAGTTTCCCTGCAATTTCCCTTCCAGAAGTACTGATTTGTTTTCTGCAGAACTTGAACAGCAAGGGATGCAGTTCTGCACATCCAGAAAGAGTACATATCTAAGCCACAAGGACAGTCCATAGCCCTTTCTGCATGGGGGAAATGGAATCAAACTTAACCCTGCCTTGCCACACCTCACATTACAGCCCTGATTGTCAGGCTGTGGGTAGCTCTGTGCTGATAGAATTCCAGTTGCAATTCATTTGCTTAGTATGAACACACAAGGCTTATTAGAAGACACAATATATCTTATTGCAACTTATATCCTTCATCTTCCATGTCTCAGGTGAGTGCATAAGCCATCAGATTTGTCTGCTCAGTTTGTTTTTCACTTTGACAGTGAAGCAGAAAGAAATTTTTTCAAAGGAAGGGAAATTGTTTTCCCCATCATCAGCTCAAGCAACTTGTTTCACATTTACAGTGTCTGCCCCAAACAACTAATTTAATGTAAGTCAATTTTATTTGAACTATCATTTACTATTTGTATTTGATCACACACTTGCTTTCTCCCTGTACCAAATTTCACTGCACAATCTAGCGAAAGGGAAGAGCATAATGCTGAAGTAAACAGCAGAAATTCCTCTAATTGGTTGCAAAATCATAAAAAAACCCCCAAATCTGGATAATAAAAGCCTGCAGTGACCAGAAAACCAGCTGGCACTTAGACAGAATTTTCCAAAGGCTTCTAAGTACAAAGCATCAGTGAACACCCATTGCAACAATCAGTATGTTCAGCACAAATTAGCTAGCCAAAATGTTTTAATTATCTGTGAAATAAAACAGCTTGGCATACCAGATAGCTACTAAGAATGTGAATTTCATGGGGATTTATTAGGGAGAGGACATAAAAATGAGGATTAAAGTACCTCTCAATGCTCATGAAAGACAGAAAAAAACCCCAGAATTACAAAAAGATGGGATTTGCACTGTCTCATTTACAATGCCTGATACAGCCTTTGCACTGGTTAGGCTCTTTTTTATGTTCCTAAAGCTACTAGCAGGCTTTGGATGCAGTTCTCTAACACCTTATGTGTGTATAACACCAAAGTCAACACAGTATGTGTGTATAACCTGTTGTCTCTCTAGTGATGGGATCATATGTACACAATGTCAGGTTGGTCTCTTCTGCATTTAAGTCTTTACCTCAGATGGTAAAGATTTTCTCCCTTTAGCTATCAGTTCAAGCCCTACACATGCCACAATACACAGAGCTATTTACTGCTGTATCAATTCATTCACTGCTGATTAATTGCAGAGGGAACTGAATGAACTTTGTTGGCAACCTGTTAGTGTAAAATTTGTGATCATGAAATACCATCCTCATCTGATTTTACACTGCAGTAATCTCACATGAAAATAAGATCTTTGTTGCTCAAAGTTTATCAGTTCCTGTTGGTTTTCCTTCCTTTAAGTCCCATATTGCAGTGAGAAGACTGTGGAGTTGCAAGTAAATTCTTTATCTGTGTGATTTCATTGGGACATCATGTGATATTTGTCTTGTTATAACTCACAGATCTGCACTGTGGTAACTTCTGTCTACAAAGATAGACAGATACAGGGCTGATAAGCTAAACCCAAGTACTAATTCATACAAGTAATTCCACTGAGCTCAATCAGACCACTGGTGTGTGAGACTAGTCAAGTGCACATGCAACTAGCTATGGGACTGGGGTCTAGTAGTTCCTTCTAGAAAATTTCAAAATTGAAGAAGCCAAAGACTTCAGCAACCAAGACATGTTTTTGTCTGTATACATAATTGTGGCAAAGCCTAGCTGGTGTGTGATAGGGATTCCAAAAGGGCAAAACAGCCTCAGAGACACAGAAGCCCACTGCACCTTGGGATTGTCAGCACTTCTCCCGTGTGCACAGAGAGACCATTTGAAAATACAACCCAAGCCTAGCACAGTCTACTCCTGCTCTTGTTGATAGCCTCTCTGTTACCGTAATAGAGATAAATAATAATAGCAACAACCTGTGAACAGAAAGCTGATTAAAGCTTACACAAGCGCTATACTGTAAATGCATATGCCATTAAAAATGTCAAAATGATACAGAGATTTTAACTGTACCATCAATAAGAAAAGCAACCTTAGAGTGTGATATCAGGGAGGTACAAATGCACCTTTCAGACTGCATGTTTGGATGTCAATACCATGAGAGATGAGTCTGAAATAGCTCGTGCTCTCTTGGGGCATGCTATGTTAAAGGGAGCTGCCATATTTCAGGTCATGTTCTAACTTTCCCTGGCAAGTGTGCTAACTTATTCACTTTTTCTCCTTTGAAAATATGACTAGAGATTAATTGCCACCAATAAAAGTGAAGGTAACTCTGTAAAGGATGATGCTGGGTGCCTAAGCATAACTGCAGTTGTCTACATAGGGTAGTACAGGTGAAAGATTCATTCCTTGGTGGGAAGTGTTTGATACAGCACAAAGTGTTTTCTTCCTCTCTGCATCTCTGCCCCCACCCCAAAGCCTCAGTGACTTGTTGAAGTGAGGGCTAATTACTGCAGTTTCTGCATATCCACTGCTACAGTCATGCATGACATCCTGTTCCCAGTTCTGTTCCATTAAATACACAACGAGGACACATTGCAAGTGCTGCTTCACTCCCAAATGGCTGTTTTCCCCTCTAGGAGTGATTAGTTAATTGCTGTGTTCTGGGTCAGTAGAG